GCGCCCGACGCCCAATGAGAAGAAGAAGGAGAAGGGGATGAAGAGGGGAGGGAATCGCTTCGAGCCCTACGCCAACCCCGCCAAGAGGTACCGAGCCTTCATCACCAACATCCCCTTCGACGTCAAGTGGCAGTCCCTGAAGGACCTGGTCAAAGAGAAAGGTAAAGTGCAGCTCAGGTGGAGAGGCTGTGTGTGCTCCAGCCCGTGCCTGGCTCTCTCTGCAGCTCAGCACTCACCTCTGGGTGCACTTGGCCAGAGAATTTGGGAAAACTCTTCCCGAAGCCTCCTGGGTGTTGCACAACCTCGTCCCTGGCAGCCTTCCAGGGATGGTTCCTGTGGCTTGCAGCTGATAGAGCCTCATCCCAGCATTAGCAGTGTTTCCTTAGGGATCCAGCCCCAGGATTTCAGCAGGTTTTAGTGCAGCAGAACTTTCTGAAGCATGTGAATGTTTCTGGGCATTCAGGGTTACGTGCTGCTCTGGTGTGTGGATATCCAGCGGTGTCCCCGGACTCGCAGGGCTCTGGGCTGGCTCCCAGAGCCATTCTGCCATTGCTTGCAGTTCAATGTGTGGAAGGGTGATGTGCACAATCAGGCTGGTGCTTTGGCATGTGGAATCAGGGCTTTGGACATCAGGTTTGTGGTGTTCCCCCTTCCACAATTCCCTTTAATTCTGTGTGGATGGGAACTGCCTTTGCTAACCTGAACACCTTCATCTCTTGGGGAAGATGAAGAGATTGAGCTGAGTACTCAGGTAGTGACAAGTCTAAAGTGGTGTCATTTCTTCAGGCTGGTGCCCAGCTTTCTAGTTTTCAAGTCACTTTGGAAGTGCAGTGGAGTGGCAAGAAAATCCTTGGCTTGTCCAGCCTTAAAATGTCTAAAAACCAAGTTCAGAGTAACAGCACAACATTTCCTGTGGGCACTTCTGGATGCAGAGCCTCAGCCAGGGTAGCGGGCAGTGGTCATTGTGCTGGAGCTGGGCAAGGACTGCCAGCTCAGGTGTTTGAGGTGTGGCCTAAAGAAGGGGAAAACAAAGTTCCAGAGGGTCTCAATGGTTTGTCTTCGGTGGCAGAAGGGAACAGAGTCTGTGGAGCAGCCGTGGGGACTGGGAGCTTCCCTCATGAGGGGCTGTTTGAGAGGCTGCAGTGGGTTTGTGCCATGGCAGCAGTGCCAGCCTCGAGGGCTGCTTGAGCAGACCCTGATGGTGGATGGAGCCCTCAGTGCCCCCTGGCTGCCCCAGAGCCGTTGGTGTTCCGGGTGTGGAGGTGTCCAACTCTCTGAGCTGTGTGGGATCCCGTTCCCAGTGTCTGTGGTTTCTCTCCAGTTCCTGTGGATGGCAGAGGCCGGGCTGGGATTGTTTCCTGCTGGGCTGTTCAGCTGCTCATTCCAGCAGGAGCTCCTGAGGGAACCTTGGAGCCTTTTCCTTCTGGCTGCAGGGCTTGTCCTGCTAAATCTGGGGTCATTCCTGGGGTTTGGCACTGCTGGTGAATCCAACAGTTCAGATTTGCCCTGGAGCTGTTCTGGACTTCTCTCGAGCTGTGCTCAGTCCTTGGCCCGAGGCAGAGCAGTTCCAGGCCCCAGGAACTCCGACCCCTTGGAATTCTTGCTTTGGAAGCGTAAGAACGCCAGGCCAAACGTCCCAGGCTGTGGGAGCAGGTGGAGTTCTGTGCCCAAGGGGAAGCCCTGGGTGTGTGAGGGCTCTGTGGCAGCAGGAGCTCAGCTCGGGGCTGTCCCTGCAGCCTGGGAGTGGCCAGGCTGTCCTGGCGCCACCTCTGGCTCTCCCCACGCCGTGGCTCGGGCATCCCAGTGGATTGGTTGGAGAAACTCAATTACAGGTATGCAGTGGGAATGTTGGTAATGCAATGAAGAGATGTTCTTGCTTGGAACTCCCTGGTGTAGCTGGCAGGCACGAGGTGTTACCTTAGTGCAGAGTCCCCAGGATTTGGTCCCAGTGTGGGGTTCTGGGGAGCCAGGGAGGGAGGGATGGGGGAGGGATGTGCTGTTCTGCCCTTGGCCTGTTCCCCCTTCTGTTGGCTGAAGTCTCTGATCAGTTGCTCTGTTTCCCTTGGGCTTTCACCATCTTTCCAAGGGATCTCAGCCCTTCCTGGCTGCAGGGAGCTTTTCACTCCCTCTGCTGCCCGAGCTCTTCAAGAGCCCAAATCACTTGGTCTGGGTGTTCTCTTGCAAAAGGGAAGTTTCCCTTCCCCATCTGGGACACAAGTGCTGACTACTGTCTCTGCTTTGGGAAGGTTTTCCTTCTCCCTTTTCAGCCAAAGCTTTGCATATGTAAAACTTGCTCCTGTTCTCCCCCCTGTAACTTTTCAGGGGTTGTCTGTCCCAAGCTTTTACCTGTGATTGAGGGAGAGCTGTGGCCAGCTCTGCTTTGCCTCACCCTGCAAATGTGAAGCTTTCTGATCCTCTTGGATCACTGGTTCTTCAGAAGATGAGGAGACATCCAGCCAGTTTGGGGTTTTCCTTCCATATTTAGTATTTACTTTGGCCCTGGAGGCCAAGGAATAACTGCTACAAAGCATTTCCTCTGTCTCAGTTCTGTGTTTGCTCCCACTTCCCTTTGAACCTTTCACGCCTCTCAGAGCTCTTTGGTTTGTCACAAACTGTTCAAATCAAATTGCCCAAGCTAAAGTTGTTCTTTCTGTCTGAGCTTGTTCTTGGGAGATCCCAGATGTGTCTTTAGGGCCTCAGGTCACCCTGTGAATCCTGACCTGAGCTTCCTGGCCAGGCCCTGCAGGGTATTGGAATTCTGCTGGAGCAGCCCAGCTTCAACATTGGCATTTTCTGGACTGATAAAAGTGATGCAAAATTTTAAAGATAATTAAAAATAATGCCTGTGATAAATAGCACTGAATCTTCCTTCAGTTTGGATTTCTGCTTATTGCAGTAAATTCTGCTTCAGTCTCTTGGTTTGGGAAAAGCTGCATTTCCAAACTTGAAGTGTGAGATTTAAATAAATCCATCAATCAGTTTCCCCTGCATTAAGCCTTGAAGACACCATGGGGAAGATGTTCCTTCATGGAACCTGCAGTGACTGGAGCCAGTGTCTTTGGGAAGCTCCTGGAGTGACAGGTTTTGTGCTTGGATTTAATTTCTCTGCGATGTTCCCTGTCAGAATCCAGCTGTTCTCTGGCACAAGGGAGTCCTGCCAGGGTCCCTGGGCATTTTTCCTGGTCCAGCACCTGAATATCTGCTCCTGGTACTTTTCCATGGCATCCTGTGCTTTGGGATCTAGAAAAGCACCCCAAAACCTCAAATAAAATGTGACCCAGCCTGGCTTCTTAAAAAATGTTTCCTTTGCCAGCTGCAGGCCAGGTTCTCGTGGCAGAGGGGTTGGGTTGGCTCCTCTCACACATTTTAAGGTGAAATTATTGCATTTTCCTGGCAGTGGCTCAGAGCTGTGGCAGTGGGGCTGTCATTGCCCCTTCTGCTGTGCTGAAATTGGGCTCTTGAGGAACTTCAGGTGTCCTTCAGAGCCAAGCAGCTACTTCAGGCTGGACATTTGGATTTTCATGGATCTGTGAGGCTCCAACAGGAAGCTCTGAGCAAAATTGGCACAGGCTCAACTTTCCATGGGATTCCTGGAGATCTTGTGCTTCAGAGTCAGGGGTTGGTTACAAGAGCAGATGTTTAATGGTGTTGGATATCCTCAAGCTTGGCAGAGTCCTTGGGAGCTGTTGGTGAGGAGCTGCAGGTGGGAGAGGAGAGCAGAGCCCTCTCTGTGGGCAGTGCCAGCCCTGCAGGCTGGGCCTCAGAGAGGGTTTGGAGTGGAGCTCACTGGGAAGAGCTGAATGCTGGACTCTGGCTGCTGCTGTTGAGCTGGATGGCAACAGAACCTCAGGGCACTGCTGAGCCCCCAGGGCTCCTTGGGGACAGCCCCAGTGTGCTGTGGGAGCTCAGAGGGATTTCCAGCTGGAATTCCTTCTCAGGCTGATCCCAACGTGGATCCAGCTGCTGGAGCTGTGGGTGGCAATGGAAACCCCACTGGAGTCCCTTTCAGAGGGACCTGCCAGCCTTCTCCAGCCTCACACATTGTCCTCCCAAAGGCAGGAGTGGGTCAGAGCTGTTCATCCTGTTCTGGCTGCAATGCTCCTACTGCTGAATTAGTGTTTAAAATAAGAAATGGAGATTACAAATCAGTGGTTTTGTTAAGCATTCCTGTTTTTTCCAGCTTCCAGGCTGTCAGCTTTCCACAGTGTCCTGTGAATTGCTGGGCCTGGGGAGGTCAGGCTGAGCATCTCCCTGTGTGCCTGGCAGAGTCCTGTGAAACCCCAGTTCAGCTATTCATACTCAGCTGGTTTCCCACAAATTAAACATTCCACTGTCCTGATAATGCAGCTTGGAGTCCTCCTGGTTTAAATTTAAACCCTAGGACTTCTAAAACCAGAAATGAAAAATATTTTTAGAAAAGTGTTTATTCAATTCTTCTGTATGCCAGTCCCTTCAAAGGCAGCAGCCATTTGGGTAGGTGCATTCTGGAGGTCCCTGCCAGGGTTATTTGGTCCTAGAGAGGCAATCCCAATCCTGTGAGGAAAGGTGGAATTTTTTATAAACTGCCTTTTGCTGTTGACAGTTTTGTCTTGAGAGCAAACATGGCAGATTTTAATGCTAAAATAGAATTTATTGTGGCTTAACAAAAACCTGTTAAAATAAATGCAGTTCAACCTGTTAAAATAAAGCAGGCAGTGATCTCTTGATCTGTTGGTTCAGTGTGACTCTTTTTTTTGTTTTTAAATCCTGACAAAAACAAATCACTTGAAATTCTGGATTGTGGAGCCAGGACTGCATCCTGTGGGAAGTGAGGGAAGTTTGTTCCTGCAGCCTTTCCCATGGGTTTGGATTGCCTCAGGTAACGAATGGGCACTAAAGATCCAGGGAAACTGTGGAAATTTGTCTTTTGAGGTGGAGGAAAACCAAGAACATATTGAAGTGCTTGAAGCCTTTACTGCATACCTGTAATTGTCCAGTTTTGTGGTCTAGAGAACGTGGAGTGTTTCTGGGCTTTCTTATAAGGCAGAGGCTCCATACACGGTTGTTGATTGTTCTAAATTCCCATTGTTTTCTTGGCTTTTCTCCCTTGGTATCTGTGTCGTCTGGAATCTGATTTGTAGTTGGTGAGGTAACATACGTGGAGCTCTTAATGGACGCTGAAGGAAAGTCAAGGGTAAGTGTTTGAGAGTTTCTTTGTGGATTTTCTACCTGAAATGTTTCTGTGTGCTGGACAGGAGGCCAGGGAGGCTCAGAGTGTGGATGTGCAGCGGCTCTAGGGCAGGAGTGCCGTGGGATGGGAGGAGTGGGGTGGGCTCTGCAGGCAGGAGCTGTTCCCCGCGTGCCGTTGGCGTTGGCCGTGTGAGCCTGGAGCCCAGCAGGCAGGACAGGGCTCTGCAAGATTCCTGTGCTTTGGAAAAGTCACTCGAGAGGTTGGCTGAGTTTGGAAAGGCCAGGGTGCAACAGCAGGGTGCTGCAAGCTCCACTCCTGGGCCAGTAGAGAGAGGGAAATTTGAAATTCCTAAATGGAAACGTTCAGTGCCTTCATGGGCCTTGAGCCCAGGGTCAGGGAAGACAATAGGAGCACTCCAAAGTGTCCTGAAGGAAATGGATGTAGGGTGAGAGTGTGGAGGGTTTTGCTGTATGCCAGGGAAGAAGAGCAGGTCACAGGAAGCGTGTGGCATTTCTTGGAGAGTCGGGATTTAGTGTTTGTTAGCAGCTCAGACACCCCAGGTTAATCCTCTTAAGGCATAAGAAGTTATGGAATTCCACTATTGGAGGCTTGCCTGTGTAAGGTTACATTTATTTTCGCTGCTAGGGCTTAACTGATGTGATTTGGCTTTAATAATAAAATAGTTGTGTGTGATTTGGGCTTTCACTGACTTTATTTCTTCTCTCTTCCCTCCTCCCTGTGACTGCCCTGGGGAATCGCCTCGCCAGGGATGCGCGTAAGTTCTCTCTGAATTTTTACCAGAAACCCAAGGAGGCTTCTCCAAACAAAACCTCCTGAGCTGTGCTGTGTCCCCACAGGGTGGTTGAGTTCAAGATGGAGGAGAGCATGAAGAAGGCTGCTGAAGTTCTGAACAAACACAGTCTTGGTGGGAGACCCCTGAAAGTGAAAGAAGTAAGGAGGGGATCTGTTCTGGCAGGGGTGGAGGGAAGGGGGAGTTCTTGGTAAGGGTTTAGGGCTGACTCAGAGGATAATGGGCAGAAAGCAGGACTTAAACAGGATAAAAAACCCCAGTCAGCCTTTTTCTAATCGTTTTAACCACTGCTGAACTGTGATTATCAAGACTAAATTGGATGTGGGGACAAAGCAGGAGTTTGGCTTTAACTGCAGTTCCTTTGTTAATGATCTGACACAGAAACCCTCATGTTTGTTCTTTGCAAACTTCCCTTTGGATCTGCGTCAGAATGAATGGATTCCACCACCAATTCCATAGAATCAGCTTTTTCCAGGAATACCTCAAAGATGTGTTTCCATTTTAGTGGCTTTGCTACTGACAGCCAGGCCTGGGAGTTCATTCCAAACCCTCTCCAGTGGCACTGGGGATTTATCAGGGTTTGGAACAGATGTAACAGAGGTTTGCTCTTGGGATTAATGATGGATAAACACCTTGAGAACCAGGGAAATGCCTGAGGAGGAATAACTCCAATAATAAAGGGTACCATTAATAAAGGTGTTGAATTTGCAGGCAGCCCTTTGGGAAGAGATGCCAGTCTGGACTCCATGTTTCAGAAGGCTGATTTATTATTTTATATTATATTAAAAGAAAATGATATATTAAAAGAATAAAAGAAAGGATTTCATCAGAAGGCTAGCAAGGAATAGAAAGGAATGGAATGATAATAAAATCTTGTGACTGCTCACAGCCTTGACATAGGTGGCTGTCATTGGTCATCAAGTAAAAACAATTTCACGTGCTGGGTAAACAATTCTCCAAATCACATTCCAAAGCAGCAAAACATGGAGAATCTGAAACTTCCCAGTTTCTCAGGAGAAAAGATCCTAATGAAAGGATTTTTCATCAAATATGTTTGTATCATTTAAATGATAAAAAGGTGCTGGGTGTAAATAAAATAAAAATTGCCAATGAAAGGGAGGCAGTTGGCTGGGAATGCTTAGGGAGCAGATATCCTGGGATAAAGGGAAACTGTCTGTGCCTGTTGGAGCCCTGGCACTGACCTTGGTGGATGGGGGATCTGATGTGATCTGATGTGATCTGAGTGTGTGTTTGTGTCCCCAGGACCCCGACGGGGAGCACGCCAGGAGGGCCATGCAGAAGGTGATGGCAGCAGGAGGGATGGGCATCGGGCCCGGCCCTGGCGGCCCTGGCATGATCAACATCCCGACGGGGAGCACGCCAGGAGGGCCATGCAGAAGGTGATGGCAGCAGGAGGGATGGGCATCGGGCCCGGCCCTGGTGGCCCTGGCATGATCAACATCCCCCCCAGCATCCTGAACAACCCCAACATCCCCAACGAGATCATCCACGCCCTGCAGGCCGGCCGCCTCGGCAGCACCGTCTTCGTGGCCAACGTGAGTGCTGCAAATCCTGCACGGGAGCCCCTCAGCTGGGGCAAACTGAGGCAGGAAAAGCCTTGGCAATGCCAGGAAAAGCTCCTCTGTGTCCTGTTGGTTCTCTGTGTGCGCGGGGGCGTGAACAGCCCTGGAATCCGGCTGTCTGGTGAGGGGCGAAGGCCAGGGCCCCTGTGCATCAGAAAGCAGCCTCTCTCAGCATCTTGGCCTCGGGCTGAGCTGGGTGATAGCTCGGAGCAGCGCGGTGAGAGACGAATTAGGAGGCGACCACTTGCTGGGGGTAAACTGTGGGTTTATTACAGAAGAACCAACAAGGAGGGGAAACACCCAGCAAATGGCCCCAAACAGGGGGCAGGAGAGGGTTTTAAGGGAAAAGAAGGGAAGAAGGCAGGGAAACCCGGCTATCCAATAGAAATACATATTTGGAGGTACGAAACATAACTGATATACCAAAGTAACCAACTGTTATAAATCATAGGAGGGGCTCCGGGGCTACAGCCAACCATACCTCCCAGAGAAAAGAAAATTCTCGAAACCTGGGAGGAGAAAAGGAGTGATTGACTGAGCCCAAGGAGGAAACAACTTTCACTTTATAAGAGAAACCAAGGCAGGAGCAGTTTCATTTCCATAGCAACCTAACTGGCAGGGTAGCAGCAGGAAGTAATACAGAAAATGGGGGGAGCAAACTAACGAACTTAAGAACACACCACAGCATCTGTGCAAAGGAGGTTTTCAGTTAAGGTGTACCACAGTCTCTGTTAATTGGAATTTTTGAACAAACCTGTGTGCTTTAATTGAGTTTTATCTCAGCTCTCTGACAGCTTCAGTGCCAATACCAGGCAAGGACAGGAGCCCACTAAAGCTGTTTTCTCTGTTGCATTTCCAACGCTGCCCTGTTTTCCAGCTGGACTACAAGGTGGGCTGGAAGAAGCTGAAGGAGGTGTTCAGCATGGCCGGGGTGGTGGTGCGGGCCGACATCCTGGAGGACAAGGACGGCAAGAGCCGCGGCATTGGCACCGTCACCTTCGAGCAGGCCATCGAGGCCGTGCAGGCCATCTGTATCCTTGGCAGCAGCCTGGGCGTGGGCAGGGAACCCAGGGAACCCACCAGGGGAGAGGGGGAGCTGCATTCCAAAGCAGGATGTTGCCATGGCAGGGAAGGTCAGGTTGTAATGGATGGAAAATGGAATTTTGTCTCATTTGCTTTTCCCTCTTTCGCTTTTCCTTCTTGAAGGAATTGTTGCAGTTTGCTCAGGATCTTTCCCAAAGGAAATTTTCTTTCCTACCTGGATAAATGTACTTCTATCCCAGATGAGTTTCTGTCTCTAGGTTGTAATTAGCATTGAAATGCAATTGTCTGGAAAGGAGCAAGGTCCCTGTGCCAAGGCACAGGAGCTGGTGTTTTCCTGTTCCCTTTCACTGGCCAAGCAATGATTTGCCACCTAGAAACCAAACAGCAATAAAATTCCAGATATGACTTTCTCAGCTCCTGTTTATGGTATGGATAAGAGGAAAATACTCCCTCTGTCCTTTCCCAAAGTTTTTTGTGAGTGTTAATTCCCTTCTGCACTGCACCCACTAAACCTCGTGTGAGCCAGACTTGGGCAGAGGATTTGCTGGCATGGCACACTTCAGAATTGGTATTGCTGTGGAGCTTTTCCCTGTTTTCAATGGATAAAGTGACTGAGAAAACACTTAAACACTTGGGCTGACTTAGAGTTACATTTTATATCTCTTTGTGAACTTAATCTTACCCAGAAATGTGTTTTTATAATTTTTTTTTAAATTTCAAAAAGCCTTTTTTTTTTTTTTTGAATGTTCAGTATATTTAGATTTCAAGGCTTTTTAGTTTTGGAGAAGGCAGAAACATTTGGGATAACCTGTGACTGATAACTGAGGAGATGAGATTTTCTGAGGGGTTTTTGTGCTCCCTGTCAGAGCCCTCAGTGCTTGAACAATGATCCTTAACAACCCCAGCCATGTTCAATGGGCAGCTGCTCTTTGACAGACCCATGCACGTCAAAATGGTGAGGACACCCCCATTCCCACTGACTGGCAATGCCCTCCTGATCTGGGGGGAATTTGTGGTTCCCAGGGTGGATCAAAATCCAGAGGAGGAAATGTGTGATTTGCCTGTTGCCTGCTGAATTGATGTAATCAGGGAAGGTTAATTCAGATTATTTTGCTAAAAGACAAATCAAAACTACAGTCAAGACTGCTTTAATGGAAATTCCTGTATTTTAATTCAAAGTTTAAAGAACCAGGAAATAATTTCCTGCTTTCCCTGCCAGCTTTAATGTGTTGAATTCCTTTTAGGATGAACGAGCCTTCCCCAAGGGAGATTTCTTCCCTCCAGAGCGACCCCAACAACTCCCTCGTAAGTGTCCCCTGCATGATTCAACATCTTCTGCTTTTTATTTGGCTGTTCAGCACCTGGGAGCCAGTCCCAGCCCCAGTAAAATTCTGGTTCAGACTGGAAAACTGGGATCCAAATTCCTGAATCATTTCAGAAAGGGGAATAGTGAAGAAGAGCTGCTCAGTGATTTTTTTGGATACTTCTTTCAGCTCATGGCCAGAAGCTTGTCTTAAAACATTCACCTTCTCAAGGCTTCCAGAGCTCTCCATTGCAATTCCAGGATCCCAGAGCCTTCCATTAATAGTGGGATTTAATGGAAATATAGTGAGTCAGCAATTCCTGCTGTGGGATGGTGCTCTGGGAATGGAATATTCTCCCTTAAATTGGAAGGGCTGAATTCAGGACTTGAGAGCCTTCCAGGCCTTCACATTTCCAAAGGAGATCTTATCAATGTATTAAATATGGAAAGAAGAGGGGAACCAGGCTCTTCTTGGAGGTGCAGGATGCAGAAAGCACCGACCAAAACCCAGGAGATGAAAATTCAGAATAATTGGCTGCCCCAAGCTGCTCCTTCCAACTTGGAATTTGAATGAACTAAAAGATCAAGTCCAAAGCAGCAGTGGAAATCCACGTGGATGTAAGGAAACATTCCTGGGAGGGTGACTGGGTTGCTCAGAGCTCCTGAGGAGTCTCCATCCCTGGCAGTTCCCAAAGCTGTGGATGTGATCTGGGCTGAGCTGAGGCCCCTCCCAAGCTCGGCCATGCTGGGATGAGATACTGCAATGCTGAAGAGAAGAGTTGGGACTGGAAGAGCTGGAGGCTGAGCTGCCTCAAACACAGCTAAATTGGGGCTCTTGGTGGAATTTGAATTGCCCTGAGCAGCCTGGGCTGTGCAAGGGCAGGGGCTGGGAGTGGATGAGCTTTAAGGTCCCTTCCAACCCAAACCAGTCTGGCATTCTGGGATTCTCTGAATTCACACAGATGCTGTTTTCTTCCTGGGAACCAGGCCTGTTGAGTGCTGCTAAATTGCCCATTATTAATGATCATTAATGAGTCCCTGCCTAGTTCAGCTCTCAGTGCCTGTCAAGGCCCTCCTCAGCAGCAGAGTCACTGTAAGGATGTTCCTCTCTTCAGGACAAAACCATTGGGTTCCAGTTCCATGACCTTGGTGTAAAAGTCCCTAAATCCCTCTGGAAGCCTGGATTTTGGCCTTTGCTGGGGCGGGGAAGGGGGACCTTGTGCTGTTTTAAAACAAGATTCAACACTCCTGTGTTCAGTGCCGAGCTGGAAACGAGGGAATCCTGCAGGCACAGCATGCCATGAGCTGGTGTTTGTGCCAAGCAGAGAGCTTTCTTCCTGCTTCAGGAAAAAACAAAAAAAAAAGGGCTTTTCCTTCTTTCTTTGGGCTGGGGAATCCTTGAGGCAGCTTGGGCTCGGTGCCTGTTGTGTTTGCTCAGAGAGAGGCTGGCTGTGTGCTCCAATTGCATCGGTGGCTGTCAGTGATCCTTGGGTGCCTCAGTTCTCCCCTGGCAGGGCTGGAGGTGAGAACTGTGCCCAGCTTTAGGGGATCTTCTCCCAAATTGCCCACTCCACCCTCCTCACACGAGGGCTTTGCCCAAAATGAAGCAGTGTTCTAGCCAGTTATTTTTCAGGAGTCAGCTCCAAAGCAAGTTTTCTCAGCAGTAAGATGGAAATTTAAATATCAAGGCAAATAATTGGAGATAGTTTTTAGCCTATTTCAAGACACATCTACTCTTGATTTATTCCACACTTCCCTGCTTTCAGTACACACCCCACAGGGGGGACACAGCAAGCTTTTTTTGGAGAATGAAAGTCAATTACTTAAGAAATAAAACTTGCTGTTTTGTCAAACTATGGAAAGAAGGCTTTTTTGATATCTGAATATTTTCTTCAGATGGTCTTGGTGGTATTGGCATGGGATTAGGACCTGGAGGTCAACCTATTGATGCAAATCATATAAACAAAGGCATGGGAATGGGCAACATGGGACCTCGAGGTAAGAAGATTACTCCTATGCTTTTGTTTCATGAGAGCTTTAAGCTGTGTAGAAGGTAGATAGCTTTGTTTGCCTCCCCAACAAGTTGGTAGCTTCTTAGGAATGTTAAAGCCAAATGAGTTTTTTTTTTGTTCAGCTTGATAATGGAAACTTGAATTTAACCAACTGCTCCATTTTTATTTTTTTTTTTTTTTCACTGTGGTCAAGACACAGCTCTCATTTTCTGACTCTTGAGCATGAGCAGCAGACACTGCAAAGATCCATGAAACTCCAAACCATCTCTCACTTTTAACACCTCTAGTGGGCTTGCAAATCTTTGGTGAGGATCTCTTGAAATAGCACAAGTTTCAAAGAGCCACCTAAAAAGTAGCACACACTCAGCTTTCCATGTCGAAATGCCAGTGGGTTTTTCCCCTTTGCTGCTTGATTTTCTGAGCAGGAATGTTGAAATCTCCTCAGACTTATCCCATGTAAGCTCTTCAGCCCAAGCCATGGATGTGTTGTGTGGTTTTGAGTTCTGCAGCCTTTGGCTGGAATTTCTTGGCTGACACCTGCTATATAAAGCTTTCTCTTTTATTTTGAGGAATGGGAATGGAAGGCATGGGCTTTGGAATGAATAAAATGGGAGGTAAGCTGTGCTTCTTGCTCTGTTCATAGCTTTGTGCAAGTCCTGCAGGCTGAGCTGTGTGTGTGGGGCAGGAATTGGTGTGCTGGGGAATCATCACCAGTTCAGCAAGAATTGGGTCTTTTTTGGGTATTCAAACAGCTCAGGTGTGTGGGGAGGGTGGGTCCATCCCATAAAACATGGCCTGTGCTTCCTTAGCTCGGGAAATCTGGAAGTGCCATCCTGGGGGTTGGAACTGGATCCTCAATATCCCAACCCACTCTGTGATTCCATGGTTTTATAACGCTGTGCCCAAATCCTGACCCCTTTTTGGGAGCTGGTGCTGGGGAGCTGTGTGGGACTGTTGTGTGGCAGCAGCTGCTGGCTGTGCAGTGTGGAATGCCCTGCTGAAGAATTCCCAAATGTGTTTTTTCAGGAATGGAAGGTCCCTTTGGTGGCATGGAGAACATCGGCCGCTTCCCCGGCGGGATGAACATGGGCAGGATGAGCGGTAGGCCCTGGCTCTGTGTGTCCTGCTGCCTTCCCTGGCAGGGATCCCTCTTGCCAAAAGCCTCTTCTCAGTTTTATGGGGTTTTTCCAGTTGTATCCCCAAGTTCCTCGTGGTTTCTGAGCTGCACAAACCCACTGATTTATTGATGGGACCTTGCATGGTTTATTCAGAAATATTATGGCTCTGTCCCATGTGTTTGGGGTAAATCCTGCTTTTCCTTGGGGCTTTAGGCTCCTGAAGCCATGACAGAATGATCAGGAGAAAATCACAAAAAC